TGCAATATTAAAACAATTGTAAGTGCCAGTCAGATGTTGGCACCACACAAGAAGGTAGCATCATCCAAACCACATTCTGACCTTTCCACAAAATCAAATATTTATATTAGTGTGCGTCTAACACTTAAGCTAAGTGTACAATATCACCCTATTGGAAGAAGTCGGCTCTGGTTTTGAATATTAAAAAAGCCAACCTGATGCTTCTTAATTGCCCACAATGGTTAAAACACTACCTTCAAACAAACTCACCTAAATCAGGAAATCCATCTAGGAAAGGTCTTGAATATGGTTATTAAAAGAATTAAAAAACAAAAAGTGCATTTCTAGCTAAAAATAAAATCCACTGGGAGGCAAGACATCATTTTAAAAAAAACTAGGAAAAGCCAGGAGTAAGCTATCAAGCATTAATCAGTATATTACAAAATCTTAGCCTCAGATTTTCTTTAGCTCTATAGGATTTAAGTTTTGGGGGTGGTTTTAAACTTGACTAACAAGCTAAAACCAGAGAACCATGAAAGTGGAACTTGCAATCACTGTAAACTTCAAGTGTTATCTGAGTACAGCTTCACTTTAATAAGGCCCGAAACGTGTGCCTCACAACCCTTGTAAATTCCATATATTGTGCTATCAAAGCTTATAACTTTCACTGAAATCACGAACTTGGTTTTGTTCATAATGCAAACTTGCAACATGCACCTCTCCCCATCTTTCTTAACTCCATCCTGAGAATCAGTTCTCAATTCAAGCTGCATAGCTTGTAACTCACAAACAGAGGTTTTATAATTAAATGTAAAGTTCGCTTAGTCTTTCCAATTTGAGGATAAGCATGAATACATTTTGCACTGTGAGAGATGTAATTCCAAGACTGAAAAAAGCTTTATTTAGATGGAGTTAAAAAGAGCCTACCAACTTGAAAGGAGTTCACAATTCCATCTAAAATTTTGTATCTGCCATTGTTTCAAGTAACACTTAGAATAGCTATCAGATTAGTAAAAATTTCAGTAAGTTTGTTTACTTTGCATTTGTCAGCATTTTGTGTACAATTAGTTTTATTCATGGTGCACACACTTTAGGCCTTCCAAAACACTGTTTATCAGTAAACAGCTATAGCTGAGCTGAAAAACTTAAATGGCAGCAAGTAAAAATATAAACAAAAGTGGTGAGAGAGGTGGTAGTACTGGGTATGTTCTTAGGACTGCTGTAAGATTTTTAAAAATAAAGCAGGGAAGAAAACTTCCGATTACATTTTTTTAATGGAATTTAAAAATATTCAGGTTATATCAGGCCAATGTTTTTGAAAGGTTGCTCTAATAGTCAACATTAAAAAAAATCTAATGACAGAACCATTTAAGACTAAGAATGCATTACCTTTTAAAATTCAGTGGTACCAACTCAGAAAAATTCAATGTAGTTTCAGAAACGGTCTTCACTCTGCACCTATACCCACGGATTATCTGAAAACCTTCACCAGTGACAAACAAAAATTAATTCTGCCCTCTTAAATATATGAATTCCAACAATACCAATGTTGACTATTTCACTGTTGATCATATTGACATCCAGTTTATTTACTTATCCCAAAATTTCAGACTCTCACCTGACACCATCCCTAATCTCAAAATGCCCCAAATCTCCTTTAACTGCCAGAACCTCTAGCTTCTCCATTCATCCCCCTGTATAACTTTTGACAGAGTTATGCATATTCCTAGAAGATTCTGAATCAGCCTCAAAGTTAAAAATTTAGGGGCATAGAAACATTTCATATTATATTCATTTTAACAGAATATGCTACAATGATTTATTGAATTAAATGAGAATGAATACAAAGCCTCATTTCTTAGCATATATGAAATTGCCACAGAATCTCCAGTTTGCTGCAAAGAGCACTACAAAAACTACAAAATTCAAGCTTGCCATTGAGTACATGTTGACGAAGTGGGTATTCACCCATGAAAGCTTATGCTCCAATATGTCTGTTAGTCTATAAAGTGCCACAGGACTCTTTGCCGCTTTTACATATCTAATCAGGGAAATTGATGCTCTCAGCCCATAAAGGATGGGATAAGGTAAATTGGGCTCTCCAGCCCATACTGGAGGTGGTTGTGATTTCTGGACATCACCAGAAGGGTAAGATGCAAGATGTTGTAGGCTGTGGTCTGTAGCAAGTATGAACACTTCGGTCTAAGTGGTGGTTGACTTGCTGAGTCAGCATGTAAAATAACAGTTGGAGCAGCAGTTTGTGCTTCATATAGTTAGTGTGAGTGGTTATCAGCAGGAGTCAGTGTTAAAGCAGTGCTGAAACGTTAACTGAGACATCAGAGTTTCAGGTGTTTCAACAAAAAACTCAAAACACACCCGTCTTCCTAAAAACATCTAATATTTTAGGAGACAAAATAAAATACTCTGCCTTAGTTTTTGAAAGATTTTGTAAGGGGTTTTTTTTTTTTTTATTAAAGCAACTACATTTGAGACTAAGCTACCTTACTGTGTTTAAGACCGCTCAATTCATTCCAGTTAGGCTCCACCAGCTGGTCAAAACTTATAGCACTGATTTCAGTTATCACAAACTTCAACTTAACTTAGAGTTTCGTCACACTTCAAGAGGGCACACTTCAACTATTATCTCCACAATGAAAGATTCGAGCAACTAACTACCAGAATAAAGCTGAGCAGAATAAGAATTTCTGCCATAATGCGGATAAGAATCAAGGTTGTACAGTCTCAGCGTACTCAAGTGGAGAAGAAAAGGAATTGCAAGATACCTAAACCAAAACCTAGAATGGCTTTAAAGTCAACCAAAGAGATTATGGATTGCTCAACTCCAAACCAGCCAACTCAGATGAAATGCCTCCACATGGGGCTGTAGATGCCCACTTTATCTTTTAAAAAGTTACTGTTATTTTTATAGTGCTCAAGAGCATGTGAGGTGCTTTGCAGAACAGATACAGTGACACAGTTCCTGCCTCAAAGAGCTTACCATATAACTTCAGACATGATACAATGAGTATAATACTAACAGTAAGGTCAGAAAGGACAAGGGGGTCTCCCTCTCACTCCTCTCCTTGGGCCTACCTGCCCCCCCCCCCGACACAGGTGTTATCACAGCTCTAGAGCTGCAAGTTTATCCTGGTGTTCCCCGTCTCTCATCTCCCATGCCAAAACAGCTCTAATGCAGAGTACTGCTTAGTTCCTCCATGCACCCGTTCACAACAGCTTGGCCACCCACAGAATTGCTCCGAACACTGTGGAACCAGTGTAAGTAGAAGTAAAAGGCCAACACACCCCTCTTTCCTACATAAGGCCCTTCAGACTTTGGACCTACAGGGCATGTCTACATGGCAATTAAAAACCCCTGGCTGGCCGGGCTCGGGCTGTTTAATTACAGAGTAGACACTGAAGCACAGGCTGCAGCCTGCGTTCGGGATCCTGTGAGGTGGAAGGGTCCAAGAGCCTGGACTCCAACCTGAGCCTGAACAGTTACACCACAATTAAACAGCCCCTTAGCCCGAGCCAGCTGGTACAGGCGTCCAACTGCAGCATAGACACATCCATAGATAAATCTCTGCGTGTATTAAGGTAAAGGTTCAGGCTTAGCCCTATGAGTAAAACTCTGCTTGTATTAATGAAAAGGGGCTAAGATACTAACAGTCATACTGACGACCTATACTGATCACTGAAAACCTTCAAAAAATTCCTGAAAACATTTTTCAAAAGCAAGTATTTGGGTTTTTATCTATTTAAACCCCAATTTTTCATGTCCTGGATCTCCACAGACTTGCTCCCCCCCACACTCTCAAGAGTCTCTGCCAGATGGTTCAGCGTACCTGTACAGAGAGAACAAAGAGGGGAATTGCTGACCGGCGGCTGTTGCTGCTGGCCAGTTGGGGAAGCAAGACAGGTAGGGAACCTGGTCCTGATAGCAACAGGACTGCAGGGAGCAGAGCACAAGGCTGCACCCAGTGAGTACTGGCCCCCCAATTGCTTCCCCTGCCCTTCAGCATGGCCCAAGGGAACAGAGCCCCGTTTGCTTTCCCGTTTGCCACAAGTGTCAGGCACCTCCTCCCCTCATCTGCTGCCTCCCCCAAGAGTACTAGGTACCCCATGTCCTCTGTCCATTGAGAATACTGGACACACCTTCCTCCTCCTCCCATCCACAGTACCTCCTCTTCCCCCCTCTCCGCACCATGAATACCGGGCACCTTCTTCCATCCCATCCAGAGTGCTGGAGTCAGGGACACCCATCCGCTCTCCCTGCCAGACAGAGCCACCCCTCCAACTCTAGCTTGTCTACGGAGCTGAGAAGGTCCTTCATTTCCTGGGAATTTATGAGTGTATTACAAAAATTGATAAACACTGATAAATTCCCAGGAAATGAAGAGCCTCATTTATACACAAACTATGCTACTGCATAGACTACCTCCTTGTCTCTTATACTGAGATTTATCAAAGATGCTGAAATCATGCTGCCTTCAAGTGCTTAAACACTGTTTCAAGTATAGCATGGATTCATGAAAAGCATTCAAGAGTTAACTACATGGCAATTTTTTGCAAGCAGTCATCTGAAGAAAGCCTACATTAAGAATGCCTAAATTACTGCAACACTTAGGTTTTAAGTCAAGTCTTGTTTGCTGTATCTACATAAAGTTGCCTCGAATGACAAGCAACCTTTAACTCCTAAAAGTTTAGGAAAGGTTTTGTAAGAAGTTTATAAACGTATAAAGAGATGAGCACCACAGTGCTAGTGGTAGGTAAAAACATCCACACTTTATAAATGAAGTCATTTGCACTTAAGTAAAAGCTATCTTAGATTTTGCTAGCTTCTGATATTTACAAGTCTGTTTAGAAAGTCTTCTGTTGGCTGAAGGGCACCTTGAAAAAAAACAATTCTGTATGAAAAAAACTAATCATTATGACTGTCAGTAGGAACACAAGACAAAAGAGCAGAAATGTTTTCAACACCAGAAATATTCAAAGAAATAATTTACACTTTAAAAGCTTACCTTTGTTGAAAGCACTTTAAATGTACTTTGCTCTGGTACTATGGAATGCAGAAGAACAAGCTTCAAGTTGTAGTCTTCTCCGGATGGAAGTCTCACCAATGCATTCAGCTGTTAACAGATAAACATCTCTTTGTGATGACCACAGAGTACACTAGCTGCAATTTTCGATCTTAGCATTAATTTTAATCCTCCACTGACAACTTTCAGCGATTAAATGAATGACTCTTCACTTGGAATGTTTTAATGAAATGTCAAGCACAAGACAGGAATTTCAAACTGCACTATTTCTTACTGCATTATTCAACAATGATTTCAAAGTGCACTAGAAAATAAATAGGAGATTGTTGTTCCTAGCCTCCAACTAGCTACTCAAAAAGGCTGTTATCTCATCAGTTTGATCTGCATTCTTTAGGAAAGTGTTGCATGACAATAAGAAGATAGCAAAACATTAACAATGGAACACAAAGATTATGCAACTTCCCTCTTCCCACATACTTCAAACATTTACTTATGAAGTGAGATGTGTGCATGTAATCTGGACTGAAGTGAGCTGTAGCTCACGAAAGCTTATGCTCAAATAAATTGATTAGTCTCTAAAATGCCACAAGTCCTCCTTTTCTTTTTGTGAATACAGACTAACATGGCTGCTACTCTGAAACCTGTCATTAAAGTAGATACTACCTGAACATGTATGGTTTTGTTCACCAAGAATTAACAGTTAAGCAACACAAACCCATGTCTGGTGTCAGAATCAGAGAAACCTAGATTAATATGGTGCCAGTAATATACTGAACACAAATATACTGATGCTAGATTGCAATGCTTCATTTAAACTGGTTACCTCATGTCATGATTGTCAGAATAGATCTGAGGATACCAAAAGCATGGGAAGTAAAATATCAACATGCACTTTACACCATGTTCTCTACAACTTCCTACAAGAATGTTAACACTTTATTCTGCCTTTTTCATGGCAATTGAATGGACTGAATGATGCGATACAGAATGTCTGTATCAGCAAATAGATGTCCTGAAAGATAGAGATGCATATCAACTAAGAAGTTATTTTTCAGTGAACTCATAATGTAATCACCTCTTTCTCAGAAAATTGTACACTGATGTCATCCTTCTGTGCGTTCTTGATCATGAGAGTTACAATTATTTGAGATTCTGTTTGGTACCAGTCATACCTTTAAAAAGAGAAGGACATCAAAACTAAGTTTTCTTGCACGTGGTTCAAAAACATGTAAGTGAAAAATTCTCACAGTGCGAGAAAATACAAGTACTGTAGACCACAGTAACATTACAGGGTTTTGTGTTAATTGTTTTGAATTTACACAGCACAAAAGTCTGAGGTTTAGCAAGCAGAATGAAGTTATGAGTAGATTTTCCCTTCTTCCCCAATAGTTAGTTCAATGCACTTGAGCAAACAAGAACTGCTGGTGGAACAGAAAAAATGTACAACTGCTCTACCAAGAAGCAAAAATCTAAATAACTAATTTAGACACTTAAGTCTTCAAAAAAATCGATTTATTTAGAGGAAGAACAGTCTTATGCAGCAAGAGAGCAGGCTGGGTGGCTTGATGGTGGAACGTAAAACAAAAGGGACAGAGGACTGACTGCAACTGTCTGCAGAGAACTAACTCCAGAGGAGGGCAAATTAAGGTAAAATTTGGGGGCTTAGACAAATGGACAGCATCCCTTTAAAATTGCAGTTCTTAGACTTCTAGTGCTCTGTGTTCTTTCACCATTAGACTTCCTATTTAGCCTCTTCAGAACTGAAGTCACTTTTGAGACAATAAGTCATGAACATGGACAGCTAGTGAACTAGCCATTGGCGGGAGTGGGTGGGGGGGGAGAAAGAGCCCCCGGTCCCTCCCCTTCCACCCTGTCCTCTCCGCCCCCATCCCCTGCAGGAGCCCAGAGCACCCTCACTGCAGCCCCTAGCCCCAGAGTGCCAGGCAGCGTGGTCCCAGCACCCCCAGTCCCGGGCGGTGCTGCCCCGAGTTGGCAACAGACCTGCTCTCCTCAGCCCCAGACAAAGCCAGCCTGGGCCATGGGAGAGTTCTGGAAACTGCAGGAGGCAGCCTGGGGCCAGGGCCACGCCAAGCTGTTTGGGGAGGCACAGCCTCCCCCGGCCTATAACACCCATAACATGTGGTCTGGCTTAAACCTTAAAATGCAAAGAGAATGACCCAAAACCATTTTATTACAAGCAACATATAGCAGTCAGTCATCAATTACCACAGTGGTACTAGTTTCACCCTATACTTAATATCAGGGAACAAGTATCTGTCAACTATTACTACAAAGTTCACTTTTTCATCAATTTATATTGTATGAAGCATATATGAGAATCTCTCTGTTCTGATGCCTAAGCAATACCTAAGGTAGGTACAACTGAGAGGCACTATGTTTTGCCCCAGTTGAACATCAGTTGGGATACCTAATCCCAAATCCCTAGATATGTTCTGTGAGCTGATCATCTTCAGTGGAGAGTTCTTGGCTTGACAACAGCCTGTGTACATGGACTTTTTAGGACATACTGAAAAGCTGATCTACCAATACATTTTCTGAGAGGACGGGTTGGGGAGTTTAGTGTTGACATGCTAAATAAAGTCATTGCTTCCGAAGATTCTGAAGCTTATACTCGGAGGACAGGCACACTAAGCATAGCTAAATAAATTAATATATTAATACATTAATAAATAATGTAATAATACCAGGTTAAACAGTCTGAAGTTTATGATACATTAGGGCTCCTTACCGCTTCAGAGAAGATTTGGTATTTACCCATATCCAAACCATAAACACAATCAGCAAACATATCTGATCCAGTGTACAGAATTTAGTTTTAACATGTGCATTACAGAACAGACTAAATTTACAATTTGGAATAACGGCTTAATACAAATGCTATATAAAATGATTGTTAAATTATGTAAAGTGTAATAAAGCTAAAAAAGACTTACTTGATTTTTGATGGCTGAGTTTGCTGTTGTGTAGTCTGATTGTGGCATATGACATTTGAAAGACATTAAAAAGTTAAATTAGTATAGTTCACTGTATCATGATGTACTTTTCAAAGAAACATTCATAACATTATATACACACATTGTACATTAACAACTAAATTGCCTTTTTCTCCTCTTGATGCACAGTGCATTAACAAAGTTAAACAAACATTTTGAAAACAAATCTCCTGATTAGTCCCATAACCATTTATGTAGGAACCAGCAGAAAATAAACAACTGGAATGTGCTGAAGTCAAAGTGCTTTATAAATAGTAATTCAACTTCTCAGTTCAGCCATCTTCTCAGGCAGTAAGTATTACATCCATTTTGCAGCTAACGAAAGAGACAATGGTTAAATGGGTAACCTAAAATCACAAAGGAAATCTACAGTAGAGCTGGGAATGTAACCCAGAGTTCTTTACTTCCAATCTTTTCCTTTTAACCACAAGGCCACTGTCCTTGTGTATAACACTACTCTTGTCAGACTTTCCACATAGTACCTGTTTTCAATATGCATAAGTTGGGAGTAGTTTGAGAGTAACAGTCTCAAGGACCAACATAAGTTTCGAATGCCAGATACTATTGATACTGTTTCTAGAGACACAAGTTCAAAGGTTTTACCATGGTGCACAGTAGGAAGAGGCAACTGAAAAATGAACTAGAGCATCAGCAGAATAAAAATCTGCTTAAGTAACAGTTCATGCACTTTTAAGGCACTTAATAAATTACAATTAAAAGCAATTAGAATGCTTAAGTGGAATTGATTAATCTTGCAAGATTAATCATCCATTGTCCAAAGGAAAAAATTAGACTTGCTTTATTATAAAACGTATGCACATTGATATAACTGCTAGAACTGTGTGCTCGTTTAATCCTTTGTAAGAGCCTCCATAAGCCTGACATCAACAAAGAGCAGGACTTTAGGCTAAAGTTAACCCCCCACAAAAAATGCTATACAGTAGGAAGGCTTAAGTTAGTTAGTTTTAGAGCCTGTTAATATGAAGCAACTAAGAAAAGTCTCAAAACATGCTCTTGTTTAGTGCCACAATTAAGAGTAAGCCGCAAGTATGTTAAGGAAAACGCCTTACCATTTCAGTCTGTGATCCTTCTGTAGGGACAAAAACAAGTTGCATTTTTCAGAAAAGAGCAACATGTTTAATTTACAAGGTAGATTTGCTTCTTTCAACTTTCTTCAATTATTCAGAAAGATTCTGTATTTGTATCATAACACTATTTGTATCTACGGATTTAATTTCAAATGTTCAATTTCAAAAGTCATGCGAAAGGACAACTGCAACAAAAAGTATGTTCTGATTAACAGAATGATTGCATCTTCTGATCAGTAGTTCCTAACAAGTGAAGATGTAACAAACTTCTGTTATGACATGACGGCTTTGGCAAATCAGCACATAAAGCTTTGGTTTAAGATCTTTTACAATAGTTGGTACCTTGTTATCCATACCCTAGACATTCATGCTCAAGTTTGTAAGATAATTCTGATAAGGACTCTAGTTTCACAGAAGAGAGTGATGACGTTTAACCAACGAAGAGTTAAAATTATTTGGGCAACCTTAACTGTGCAATACCATACTATGAGAATTTTTTCCATACAAACCTTACAAATTTTTTTTTGCCAGAAATTCTAATTTAGAGATATTTAAGGTTAGTCCCTCTTTCAAGAAGTGAATAGCAAAGCAAAAAAATCACTGCTTTTTGCTTCTTTATAATGCACGAGGGTGCCTCAAAGATTGTTTTAAAGAACTCTGCTTTACTAACATTAAAAATACCATGTTTTGAATTCTAATTTTGCTAGAAAATCCTCTGGAGAATAGGTAAAATGACATCACAAGATGACTAAAACATGAACAGCTGAGAGGGGAGAAAGGTGTTTAAGCAGATTGAGTAAAACAGGGACAAGAACAAGCTCAATACTTGGAAGAAAAGCTTGGTGTGGCATATGACATGACATCCTCTCCCCTTCGAGAATGGAAAAAAACTCCAACCACAGTCCAAAGTGTTCCTCCAGCAAAATCAAGACAGCCAAGACTTGATATTCTTGTTATTTCTTCAGCAAAAGAGAGAAACCACTGAAAAATCTTGAGGCCATCTTTATATGATATAAATAGGGCCCTACCAAATTCATGCCTATGAAAAACGCATCATGAACCGTTAAAGGTGGTCTCCCCTCCATGAAATCTGGTCTTTTGTGTGAGCTTTTACCTATACTATACAGATTTCAAGGAGGAGACCAGCATTTCTCAAATTGGGGGTCCTGACCCAAAAGGGAGTTGCGGGGGGTGGGGGGGGTGTCCACAGAATTATTTTAGGGAAGTTGCCGTATTGCCACCCTTATTTCTGCGCTGACTTCAAAGCTGGGCGGCTGGAGAGCAGCAGCTATTGGCCAGGCGCCCAGCTCAGAAGGCAGCACCTGTCAGCAGAAGTAAGGGTGGCAATACCATAGCATGCCATCCTTACTTCTGCGTTGCTGCTGGTGGTGGCTCTGCCTTCAGAGCTAGGTTCCCAGCCAGCAGCTGCCACTCTGCAGCTGCCCAGCTCTGAAGACAGCGCCACCACCAGCAACAGTGCAGAAGTAAGAGTAGCAGTACCGCAATCTCACCTACCTTGTGGCCACCCCACAACTCCTTTTTGGGTCAGGACCGCTAGAATTACAACACAGTGAAATTTCAGATTTAAATAGCTGAAATCATAAAATTTACGATTTTTAAAATCCTATGACCAGGAAAATGACCAAAATGGACCGTGAATTTGGTAGGGCCCTATAAAGGATAAGTACCAGACCGACAAAAAGAGTTATGTTCCTCTGCTGTTTGTTGTTAAATTAATATCAACTTATACTGCCCCCACTGATCTTTCTTTCCCAGTGCACACCAGGAAGGGAGTAAGTCTGCAGATAAAGTCACAGTGGAGGAGAAAGTAGACTTATGAGCTACTCCTTCATATCCACAGGCAACACATCTATGAAGCCCCTGGGCAACTTAGGAAAAGTAAGCTGTGCCAAAGTGCGGGAAAAGCTGCACTAAGTTGCATGCTCTGTTAGACTGGTCAACCCACATGAAGAATTAGTAAAAAGTTGACCACTGCTTCAGACAGTGCTCTCACACTGAACACTACATTACTACTCCAGATCAAAGCTGGTCCCAGCAACTAGTAGGAGCATGGCTATTGCTACTTTATCATGGTGTCACAGCTAGATGGATGAGAATGGTTCTTTTGATGAAGGAAACAGCCTTCAGATAACTGGAGGCCCAAATCTCTAACTCTCCATTGTTTTTTTCCAGTGCCGGACCTATCAATCTTGCAAGCTTCTATTTTGGGGTACAGAGCGCAAGACATGCTCCAACATCACTACAGAGCTCTTACATTAAGTTCGTCTCCATGTACTTCTACACAAGGGCAACAGGAGTCAAAACTGTGTGGCTCCTAATATAAATTGGATTTATTTAAGATTATGTTCATTGGCAGATTTACCAACACAGGATTTGTATTAGAACTATGAAAGTTTCTGAAATATCTGGATTTTTGTTCTTGAAGTCTGAAGTTGAAATAGGTACTTTTCCCATCTGCATGACTAATTCTCACATGGATTTTTTCCTTCAAAAATCTAAAGAAACATTTATAAAAGTTAAGCAAAAAAAGTCCTCACAGAAACAATTGGAGCACCTAGTAGTTTATTGTAAACAAAGACAAGTGCTATAAAGATTTCAGATTTTGAAAAAAAATGTTTAAAAGCATGGCAAATATCAAAACAAGTACAAAATAAATGAAGCCACTCTTACTGTTTAGTGTTTCTTCGCATCTTTTAATCCAAATAGTAAAAGAAGTATCCACATCTAGAAGAGATTGAATATACAACATTTCACTATCTCAAATCTACTACTCTAAAAATGGGTACTATTACTTGTCATGAGGATGCATAAAGGGCAGACTTGCAACAATGGAACTGTTTTGTTTTGATTCTTAAATATAGAAGGCTAGATATTAAGTGTCAGGACTCCTTCAAACCAATTATACTATGTTTGATATTAGTGTTTAATTACATAACTAACTCCCCAGCTTTGTTGGGCTGGATGTTAATACACTTAGAACTAACTAGTAGTTCAGTTAGCAAGTTAAATTAAGTTTGAACTGACCCAAATCTAGTATTCAGCTCTCAGGCTTCTTCACCACTTCCATTTAACTGTTCCCAAAGATGGTAAACATCTCTCCTCTGTTCTTAGAATGATCTCCTCAAATACTCATCCACATGAATTCCACTTGAACAAGTACAGAAAAGCCACTCTATTTGAGGGTACTCCAAAATTGTGAAGAAAAGTTTACAGATGACCCACAATTTAATGTGTTTTTCTAGGGGTTTCTAGTTGTATTAGAAAGTAAAGAGGGAAGAGAAATCAAGATTCTAGCTCTCTATTAAGCAACAATAAGACAGGGAGAGAATTTGCTAGAAGCCCCAAATTACTGGGTGAAGTCACTGGTGATTAGCAAGTAGGGACTGGGGTGCAGCTGTGGATTACTAGGCCTGGTCTTCACTTAACAGTTTTGCCAGCATAGCTAGGTCACTTAGGAGCGTAAAAAAACAAAATCACAACCATAATTGACATAGTTATACCAGCAAAAGCCCTAGCATAGACATAGCTTATCTTATTCAGGAAACTGGGTTTTGCTGGTATAAGATGTGTCTCTTCTAGGAGTGTTTGCCAGCATAGCTACACTGGCAAACCCTTTCTAGCATATTCAAGATCTTAATGGGGCTTTGTTTGCTAGAATCTAGCAACATCTTGAAGGTGGCAGGGCATCCTATGACACAATTCTATATAAAGCTGGCTAATATTTTTCTGTCTTTACATGGTTGAATATACTACATGATTAGTCTTTATGATTTTAGTAAAGGTGAAATTTGCAAATAGGTGATTAATTTATATTACTACTGTAAGACCACTTGCCTAGAGTTGAAGTGGTTGGAATATAAGTAACTCAATAGAATAAAGATCATAATAAGTAAAACAAATACTGTCAAGAGTTGATAGCGACAACAAAACAGAATTTATGATCATCTCACCAAAGGCTGAAAAAACCCAATTAATTGAAAATCAAGTCCACCGTTAAACAAAACTTTGTCTGTTGATATGAAACAACATAACGTGGAGCCTACAAGCAAGACATTTTCATGACACCACTGAAACGTACAGTAACGCCTGCAGGTTGAGCCATTGAGCTTCATGATTATAATCTTTCATTCTGAAACATCATTCAGATCAGAAGTGGATGGACCATAATACTGAGTTTCTTCCTTCTTTTCTCACATTTAAAATTGAAGATCCAGATTTCTAAAACAAGTCTGTTTGCAAAGGAGGTTGTATCAGTTAGCTGCATGAAAAAGGTCAAAAATGGTGCAAATACAAAAATCACAGAAGCCAAGACAGCTAAATTCAAAATCTCATCAATTTTAAAAGGGACTTGCACTCACTTCCAGTCAGATTAATATCAAGTGCGATCTTAGCATAACCTGATTGGTTTTGAAGAAACTCTATAGAGAATGAAAAGAAAATCATCATTTAAGGGAAAATCCAAAAGACTGGCAGACCTACCTAGTAAGCCAGGGACTCAAGTGTATTCTTTTAGGACAGTGTGCACATTTTGTGTTTGAATAATACATATGCTTACAAAGTAAATCATATTTGCAAAAGGTGTAAGGAATAAAGAGATTCTGTAAGTATATCAGCAAGTACATCATAAGCAGGAAGCCTGTGAAAGAACTGGAGGATCTGCTATATTACAGGGGATTAAAGGAAGCAATTAAGGAAGATAAGGTCATTGCTGAGAAGCTAAATGACTGTTTTGCATCAGTCTTCACTTCAAAGGGTGTTGGGGAGATTCCAATCTTGGCCCTGCTCTTCTCTTGAAATAAATGAGGTATTATCAAAGATTAAAAAGAGATGCTAGAAGAAACTGATAATTTAAGAGAGAAATAAGTCACTACACCCAGATGCTATACACATTAAAGTTCTGAAAGAGCTGTGCTAACAAAAGTATGAAATTTAACTATAAACCAGCCCTCTGGAACAAGAGTGATATAAATGCTGTACCTCTATTTTAAAAAAGTCTTAAGGGGTAAACTGGAGAATTACAGACCAGTAAGCCTTACATCTGTACCAGGCAAACTGGTTAAAACTATTATCCAAAATACAACATACCTGGAAGGTGTTATATGAGACAAGACCTAACCAGCATAATTTCTGCAACAGAAAATAGCATCTCACTAGTCAATAAAGTAGAGAGTAAAGGAGAACAGGTTTACAGTTTATTTTAGACTGGTTTCCAAAAGGCCTTTGACAAGGTCCCTAGTCTCACATGAATAAACAAAAAAAAAAGTTAAGCCGTTACAGGGTGAGAGAAGGGGGGGGGGGGAAGGAGGGGACTAGTGAGATAACTCTGACATCTGCAAATTTTGCTATTTAGATTAGCAAGGATCAGAGAAGACTGTGAGGGAACTTCAGAGACACCTAAACAAGCCAGGTGAAGCTAGGCAACATGATGGCAAATTAAATTAAATATCTGTAAATTCAAAGTAACGCATGCCGGAGAAAAAAATTTAAACTACTCATACACCTTAGGGGGTTCTAAATTAACAATCTGCTCAGGAAAGGGACCTGGGCATTATTGTGACCAGATCAATGAAGACCCCTGCTCAATATGCCACTGCAGTCAAAAAGTTTGAATTCATAAGAATGGAATGGAGAATATAATACCTTTATATGCTGCAATGGTATCGGGAAGGCTGTGTACAGTAATGATCACCCATCTCAAAAAGAATATTGCACAATTAAGTAGAAGGAGTTCAGAGAAGGGCAACAGGAAAAATCAAGGACATGGAAAAACTCTCATAAGAAGAAAGATTGCAAAGATTGGAATGGGTTACTGTACAGAGAAGATAAATAAGAGGGGACACAATGAAAGTCTATAAAAATAATGAATGGCATACAGAAAGTAGATTGGGAATTTCTGTTCTCCCTATCTCATAAAACAAGGAAACACTGAATGCAACTGAAAGGTAGAAAAGTCAAAACTGACAAAGAAAACATTTTTTCTCCCAGTGCATAATTAGATTATGGAATTCCTTGCCACAGAAAGTCATTGGAGGCTGAAAATTTAGCAAGATGCAAAAAAAAAAAAAAAAAAAAAAGTTGGAGAAAAGGCCAGTTTTTCAAAAGCTCCATACTTCACCGATTTAAGAGTTCAGGAATCCAGAGATTAATGTATTAGTAACTCCATATGACAGAAAACTAGGCCCTTAGCCCAACCAAAAAGTAAGTTAAGAGATGAAAAAAACAGGGGATATTAAACACTCTTCTGTAGTTTTCAGTATAATCTAAGGTAAGAGAGTCACAAACATAGTTTATGAGCTCAGACATATATCTGGAGTTGTGTAAATTCCAAGAAACTGTGCAGACAAAGTTGTGTTTTACTTAGTTTACAACTTCACCTTGTATAAGAGGAATTCAGTCTATTTGTAGGCTTTTCCATGATGCTCATCACCATAATACCAGATCACCTCAAACACCTGAATTTATCCGCAACGTATGTCTGAAGCAGGGAAATATCCTCATTTAACCCATACGGAACTGAAACACATGGGCTTACATTTTGAGAAGTGACTACTGATATTTTGTGGCCAATTCTAGATGCTTTAAAAGGGCTTGATTTTTAAGTGAGGGGGTGCTCTGTGCTTCCCAAAAGTTACGCCTGTTTCACACGAGTCTAGCTGGGTATACAAAAGTTGCAGCACCTAAGTCACTTCTGAAAATCTTGTTCTTCAATTTAACCTGAGCCTCATATAAAACCTTTTAAATATTTACTGATTAGTGTGCAAAAAGAAGTGTAGTTTCAATACTTACTGTCCAATTTCTGTCCTTCTTTGAAAGACTCTAGAGCAGAAGCATAGTTTTTGCTATGGTATTCACTTATCCTGACATGCACACAGGAAAAACAAGGGCACAGTAGTTATGTTTCCAATCGAATTCACACTTCCGCTAAGCATAGTATATTTTACTTTACACTGTATCTGGATGGAAAAGTAGTACATGACTTATTAAATTCGCTGTTAATAAACAAAAGCTACAAATTTGCCACAACTGTAATTTATAAGTTACAATTAACTGGGATGCTAAGAACAGAATAACATTGTAAAGGTAGAAATGTGGGGGAATTTGGCACATTGTCTAATAATACAAGAGCTCTATTACAGATACTTATAAAGATCCAAATGATTAAAGCTATGAATGCTCCCCCCACCCACTCCTCGAGACTGACCCTCACTGCATTAATTTATTTAGTCTGCCTTCTATAAAAGGGCAATTGAGACCGCAATCTGATGCAAACTGTAGTAGAGCTAGAATGAGTACAATATATTTCAAAAATGGAAAATGGAAACTTTCTGCCTGTGGCTTCTTAAATGGTTACATACCCTTTCCTGAGAAAAGCTGTGGCATTATTGGGATTGAGTTCTAGGGACTTCTTTGCATCTGCAACAGCATCTGTAGGAAGTCAATTTTGCATGTTAGTCTCTTAAGAATTGCATTATTCCAGTTACGTATCTTAAACTAAAGATCTAAAAGGCAAAGTGACAATTCAGTCCCACCTAAACATTTAGCCATAATCTCACACCTTCAAAAGTATGGCAGAGATCCTACAAATAAGCAGTCATGTTTTTTTAATGTAAAGTACATTACTCTATTCTAGAAACACTAAAGGCATTGCCTAAGTGAACAAGTAGCTTGGGCTTAATGCTACAGTTAGATTCCTGAGCTCCGTTTTCACATCTTAAATGAAGAGTGTTTAGTATTAGTTTTCTCAGTTTATGCAGAAAAATTTATTGAACATGCTATTGAAGTACAGAAATTATCTTATAATATTTTCACCACTCAAATCTGCTACAGCTACTCACGGGGGAATTCTGCACTACTGTGCAATGCAAAATTTTGAGAAATTAATGTTGGGCACACAGAATTTCCCTTTTTCCCTAAGCAGTGTTTCCCAAATTTACAGCAGTTGTGTACCCCTTTTGAGACACTTGTCTTACTGGCATACGCCTTCTCCGGTGAAGATAATTGGGGTGAGGGGTTTGGTAGCCACATTTTTATAACACACCCCTAATTCGTTTCATTCTGGATTAAATGAATATTAGAAATAAATACAAAATTATATTACATGCAGTTGAAACAAAAGATTTTAATAGAAATAATAAGTACATATAGAAAGTACTATAAATAATTAAAATAATAGAAGCGAATCAACAGTCTGGCAGAACAGCGTGTGTGTGTGTGTATATATATATATATATATATATATAAAAAAAAGTGAATGTGTGTCATTCTGAAATTAAAATACGTTGGTTTGGTTAGGTTAGTCAAGAAAGCACTAGTTTTAATACTTACTCTTTAAGTATTGAAAAATTTTCAGTACAAACCAAACTATTCAGTGTGAGGGATGGAACTGCTTTTGACCAGACACTATTGCAGCGATATCTGGGTCGATGTTTGTGATCTTAAGACAAAGATGGGGCTCCACGTCAATAAAGACAATTTTGTTTTTTTGTTTTGATGCCCACCAGCGCACAGAATCCAATCTCGCACAAATACGAGGTCGGAAAAGGCAGAAGATACTTGACAGCTTTGCCCGATAGAGCTGGATATTCAGAGCTAACCCCCAACCAAAATGACGTCAGTGTATTTTGCTCAAATTTTGTTTTCAGGAAGCTATCTGAAGCCAGCTCCAAGAGCTGTTCTTCTGAAGCAGAGAGGTTATTTGGCAAGGTTTGAACATTGATGATAAAAGGGTTCCTTATCCATTCAAAGATGCCATCCTGTTCAAGGAAATACTTACAAAGATCTGTCCGCAAGCTTTCCAAATGCTGCTTCATGATTTGCAACACATCGTTATCAAGTTCGTTAGTCGAGTTTATTACTAAATCATGAAGAGATGGAAAGGAATCCAGTTCATGACGACTAAGACGTTTATGCCACAATTTCAATTTTGTGACCATGGCATTCACTTTGTCTTGAACATGGAATATGGACATGAGTTTCCCTTGCAAAGATAGATTGAGGTTGTTTAAATGAGCAAAGATATCTGCAATATATGCTAGTTTGCATAGCCATTTCCAGTCGGGTATACGGTTTCGCAGGTTAAACGTTTCATCTAAAAAACTTGCAGTTCTTCTCGCAGCTCAAGCAGGCGATTCAGAACTTTTCCACACGAAAGCCAGTGCACTTCAGTGTGAAATAGGAGTTGTGTGTAATCACTGCCCATCTCATCAAAAAGCTGAGAAAACAGCCAGGTGTTCAGAGGGCAGACTTTCACAAAATTGATTATTTTCACAGCTTCATCCAGTACTTGCTTTAGATCTGCCTGCATGTTCTGGGTGGCGAGTGCTTCCCTGTGAATGTAATGAGTCGATTTTGCTTCTACACGTGCAACAGCTCCTTTTTTCGAACCAATCATGGCTCTGGTGCCATCCGTGCTTATTCCAACACAACGACTCCAATTCAAGTCATTGTTTTTGATAAAGTCATCAATAACTTTAAAAATAGCTTCTCCAGTTATATGTGTTGGCATAGGTTGGCAGCACAAAACATCATGGACTTCATTATTCAGTTCGTATCCGACAAATAACAACAAAAGATTAGCTAAATTCACAATATCAGTGGATTCATCCACTTGCAGTGCATAGTAGCGACTCTTTTGTACTTTTGACAGTAATTTATGTTTTCGACCATATCTGTGATTCTAGGATGAACAGGGTTACTTGAGAGGGGGACACAACCTATAGCTTTGCTAGCCTTGTCTCCAATCATCACTTGCACCATTAATTTGGCTGCAGGTTTTACTAATGTCTCGCCAATCACTTCAGCAGCTCCGGACTTTGCAATTAAGTATGCCACACGATATAAAGCTGCCAAAGCTTTCATATTTTCACCTCCCATCACATTACAAATTGTTTTCTGGGACTTTTGGAGATCTTTGCGCCTATTTTCGAAGAATTCTACAGGTTTTCCCTCGTATTCTTTGTTTGCTATCAAAATGGCGTTTTAAATTGAATGGTTTCATACTTTCATTTGTGAGAGTCTAGTAACAAATCACACATAGTGGAACAGGCTCTACCTCATCACCAGTCCACGAAAATCCCAGTTTAAGATATTCTTCAACATATTTGCAGGCTTTTTTCATTTTATTTACAGCTGATACGTTCAATAAACTTACAGACGGTTCACATGGTTCACTAATTTTGTTGTCACAATTGTCTGATGTAGCATTATCACTGCATTTTCCAGTATAATTATCACTAACATTCGTATTTCCTTCATAATTTTCTTTTGTACGCTTCAAACTTCCCATTTTTAGCCAGCTATCCATTGTAAATGGGTTTAACAAAAACAGAAATTTTGTATATTAATACACACCAAGTATGTACTTGCTATGATCTTTAGATTACTACGAGTAGTTATTCACTTTTATCTTTTATCCGTCAGTATGACTTCTGCGCATGCCACAAATGCAAGTGTATTGCCCGAGCCGCGGTAATGCGCACACGTGGTTTGCGTCGGCTCTGCTGTGCTATTAGATGTTACTGAACGTGTTATCATAATAATTACAATGTAAACTTGTGTGCATTTCTACTGTACAAATGTATACCATTCTTATATATTAAATTTTAGTGAACTGTTTTCTGCTGCTAAAAAAAACCTATGATAAAGTAAAATAAAAAATTCTGCCGTGTACCCCTTGAAACCCTTTCACGTACCACCAGGGGACGCATACCACACTTTGGGAAACACTGCCCTACAGAAATGGGCTGCAGAGATGTTGGCCGCCACTAGGGGCCACAGGAACCAGCAGATCCCAGTTCACAAATAGAAGATAAGGCCAGGGGGAAGGAAAGGAGGGTTCCTAGCAGCTGCAGTTCCCAGCATGACCTGAAGGAAGGAAGCGGTGGCACTGGCTGTTTCTCCCTCTGGATCCCGAAGATCTGGGGGGCGTAGGGTCTGTGAATGTCCGGACCGGAGGGGTGGGGAGGGGAGAGGGTGCAGCTGACCTCTTGGGGGGGCGGTGAGAGTGTCTGGGTCGGGGAGGGGGCCCATGGCTGGGCTCTGAGGGGCGGGAGGGGAAAGGGGTGTGAGTGTCTGGGCTGGGAGGGGAGAGGGGCAGAGAAGCAGGAACTGGGTTGTCACAAGAGTTTCTTTAAACTTTCTACTCCTGGGGGAAATTTTGTGTGTGTCTGTATTGTTACAGACATACTTGCTGACAGGTACCCTGAAATAAATTACCAAAATAATTGAAACTGGTGTGAATATAGAGTGCTATCTTGACAAATAAATTTTGCAGAATTTTAAAATGTGTGCAGAATTTTAATTTTTTGGCTCAGAATTTTTAATTTTTTGACGCAGAATTCCGCAGAAGCATACAGCTAGTCTATCCTTCATTCTGCAGCTCTGCCCCCTAAGTGCAATGGACTGTGACCTTCAGTCAGTCAGTCAGGGCTTAAGCTGTTTGTTCCAAGGCCAATTCTATTCAAAATTTAAGGTTTATTTTTATTTTTTTAAGAACTGGATCAGACACAAGGAACCATTTAGAAAGTGAAACTTTTCTCAAAACAGAACATATTTGAAGTGTTACGTCACTTTTAATAAAATAAGGAGAGGGTTTAAGGCCTATCTGAAATCTAAATATAGTAACTAAAGTAACTAAACAATAAATTGAAAGAATGGGTTATTCTTTCATTAGTGTACTCAACACACTAAATGGAAAGTTAGAACTGGAAAGCTTCCATGAGAGACCAGAAGTAATCAGATACCGGAAGAGCTATATTAGTGTCAAATGTGGGTTGCTTTGCTTAAAAATGACAAATTTCTAGAACTATCATTATCCTTTGCTTGATTTAAGACATCTTTCTGTAAGGAATGTCATAATGTGGTCTTAAAGGGATACACAGTATAGTTTAAGAGATGTTACCCCAGTAGTTCTGTAGAAGAATATGAGCATAAGCTCTTTGACAGTAATACTCTGCATCATCTGGCTTCTGTTCCAAGGCCACTGTCAGCTTCTGCAAATCCAAATACAAAAATTTAACATGACAGTTTCTGTAAATCCCTCTAACAATAGAACCCAGTGAGTAGCCCACAGTGAAATGTGTTGCTGAAAAAAAAAAATCCAAAAAAAAAAAAAAAATCAACCAACCACCAATTAGCACAATTTTGCTTTAAGTGAAATTACACCAGAACTAAATATCCTGAGCTCACGGGAATGCCTGGCTATTTTGATCCCCAAAGCCTTTACCTTAGAGCTAACAAAGTCCAAAATATGATTGACTGATCCTTATATGCAAAAAAGAAAAGGAGTATTTGTGGCACCTTAGAGACTAACCAATTTATTTGAGCAGAAGCTTTCGTGAGCTACAGCTCACTTCATCGGATGCATTCAGTGGAAAATACAGTGAGGAGATTTATCAAATAAATTGGTGAGTCTCTAAGGTGCCACAAGTACTCCTTTTCTTTTTGCGAATACAGACTAACACAGCTGCTACTCTGAAACCTGACCCTTATATGTTTATTCAAATGACTTGTGAAAAAGAAAGCAAACATGTTTTAAATAAGTTATAGTACACCCATTTCCACGATGTGTGCTCAGCACAGACCAATTTATAAATCCCCAAAATGAGCAGCAATAATTGCTCCCCATGCTAGATATGCACTTCGAAATAGGTGCCTCTGGTTTACTTACACCTTACCAGGTAGACATTTGGCTAAAGAAGGTAAGTCTTGTACTGCTTTCTGAAACTATTAAAATAAGGGATAGTTACTCTCAGTAATTCTACTTCCTGAGTTACCTCAGTGGATTCCTACTCTCACATCTCAGCTACTTAGCACATTAATACGCAGAAGCTTTCAAAGCCCTCAAAGTTCTTCAGTCTTGAGGAACAGAAAGGCCAGTATCCATGCACACTAAACACTCTTTGAAGAGTAGGAATCCTGTCAATATGGTATCTTTAGTAGCATTTACACTGGTACGAGTATTTCCTTCCTACTGGTGCAAAACATGAACTAGCAAACAGGAGCAGGGAGATAGCAAACAGGAGTAGTAAATGGGAGTTTTGCAAGGGAATTCTTCAGGTGAAGGAGAGATAATGAGATCCTTGGGGTGAGTTAGTTTGTGTGCTTGCTTGCTTGAAAGTTAAAGTGTGGTCTGTTTTGGGTAGGCTGAGATCTTACTAACGAGGTTTTAGCCTGCTTTCCTTTGATTCCTAACCCTTTTGAGATCTCTTGACAATAGGGCAGGGCTAACCCAGGGACAAGAAGGGTTTAAAAAGCCAGCTCTTAAATGACCAGAGGCACTATCGAACATTAACAGGCAGCAGGTTTAAACCAAACATAAGGAAATACTTCTTCCTGCAGCACACAGACAACCTGTGGAACTTGTTGCCAGGAGATGTTGTGAAAGCCAAAACTATACCTGGGTTCAAAAAGCATTAGATAAGTAGATGGAAGACAGATCCATCAATGGCTATTACCCAAGGTGGTCAGGGACACAACCCCATGATCCGAGTGTCCCTAAACCTCTGATTGCTAGAAGTGGACAACAGGGAATGGATCACTCAGAAATAGCCCTGTTCTGTTCATTCCCTCTGAAGCATCTGACACTTGCCACTGTCAGAAGACAGGACACTGGGCTAAATGGACCATTGGTGTGACCCAGCATGGCCATTGTTATGTTATTACGTGATGCCATATTAAAACCTGTACTTAAGAACTGTTCAGTCAGTGGTCTATAGAGATTGTACCAAGATCAGATGCAGTAGGACTCCCCAGCTAAAATGCGTCCTGGCTAACAAGAATTCTTCCTGGGCTTCCAAGGAATACAGCAGCTCTGCCAACCTGGGAAAGAATGAGGTATGCACTACCTTCCAGAACCAAGCTAACTCTTTTGGCCAGTGCACTTTGATGTAGGGGAACAGCCCCACCGTAATGCCACCTCTCTGTCCTTTGAGGCCAGAGCCACTATTGCACTAGAAATGCACAGTGCTTGCACTCCTCAGCCACTCTGTGCCTGACCTCTGCACTGCATCTCACTGTCTCACCTTGCCCACCTGCTCAGGGTCAGCCACCATCCATCCCTTCAATTTCTTTCTTTTTTTTTTTTTCTCCCCTCCAGAGACCCACTTGAAGTGCAACTACAGAGAGATCACAATTTGAGGCAGACAACCATTTTCAGCTAATGCATAGAGATGGAGATTTAAGTCTTGAACAGTTGCTGCTCAGGTGAGTACAGTTATAAACTTCCATTTTTAAACTGATTACCCAGATTTCTCCTATGTGAAAATTAAGAAGATGGCAGAATAGTACAACATATGCTATACACGCCAACAGAAACGACGTTTTTTCTGTATTTGTGTTGTTGCAGTGCTCAAAGAACACAATTAGGATCAGGGCCTCATCATGCTAGGTGCTGACAAACACAGAGGAAGATGTAGCCCTTGTGCAAAAGAGCTTACAATTTAAGGTTTAGACAAGCCATATAACTGAAGAAACAAGAGGGTGAAAGAGAACTACAAATTAAGTATTAGAAGTTTCAGCCAGAGAGGGCCCAATTGCTCACATTTCTCCTGTAATAAAAAGCAGAAAACTGATAAACAAAAGGTGGATCAAGGCTCCTTTCGCAGGCTTAAAACAGCCAGTAGCCCAACCACGGATCTGAGGATGGAATCCAGTACCATGCATAGAATAGACTAGCTCTTTACTGATTATGTTGTGCGTTCTGCTATGGACTACCTGCATTTAAATGAACAAATGAATTCTAAAGAACTATCTACAGTGCCTCAGGAGGGAATAGTGTCCAGAGGACATGCACACCTGGCAGCACAGGCGGCAGTGAACTCTGGTGTACCTCAACAAAGAGAGCTAGGAGAAAGAAGGACAGACCAAGCATGTTACACAAAAAAAGCAGAATTTGATCTGCTTACATGAATGCCCTTCTAAGAATTCAGTAGATTCAAAAGTAGCAGTCATGAATGCATTTATAACGATAAGAGGCATCCTCCTGCCCTTCCGGGATAGGATAGAATGAAGGCATACATGGAAAAAACTCCAGCTAGTACAAAATGCAACAGCCAGATTGGTTAGCTACATGATTCTGAACAGAACACCCTGGTGCTTCGTTCCCTGTACTCAATGGAGAGCCAACAGAAATTACAATTCAGTGTGTGTGTCCTGACTGTCAAAGCCCTCCATGGGACTGGCTCTGGTCTCTTGAAAAACTGCCTCTCCCTCCACCTACATGGACTTCCCATAGCTGCTACATTCCACCATAATACTGAAAGTATAGATCAGAAGTAGGAGGCTTGCAAGCACTGCAAGTCTTTCACAGAAAGAAAAAAAAAAAGACGTGCACTACAGAGCTCAAACCCAGAAGAGCGACCACAAGATTTTCAAAAACTAAATGCAAAATCTATTTAATTGACATGGCTCTCTCTTCAGTATGTTCCTCACAAATGACAAACCATCTGCATAAATATAAAGAAATTAACTAATTAAGCCTTTTCTCCAGGAGGCTCGGAAGAAAGATAGCTATTTGTTTTCAAATGCTTTAGAGGCAGGTATTCAGATAATATGGCCCCCTTTGCTATACAAGTACTTAGCTTTAAAAAGGCAGCCATGTGACAACGAAGGAAATACATGATTAGCTGCCAGAGTTAAAATGAAGAACACTTGCATATTGTTTTACTAACCGTTATAATTTTAGCTCAAACAGATTTGGTGCTGTATCAAATCTTCACAACTTACATTTGCAAAGCATTTGGTAAATTTTAAGGAAAAAAATATAGGCTGTGCACCACAAGAACTCTCATCTAATTCCACAATTTAGGAACACACAGATAGGAGATAACTATATAAAAACTTCAAAATAAAGGAATGATCTCTTCATATAACTTTAGGCCAAGGTTTTAAGAACCAAGTTCCTAAAGTTAGGTTCCTGAGTCTATATTTACATGTGATCCTTCAAATATATTGGACCCAAGCTGAAGTGTCTAAAAATGAACATAGTAGCTGTTTTTTAAAATCTTGGCATTGAAGTATGCTCTTACTTTAATTTAAGTAGTCCACTGCAGACTATTTAAGAGCACCACTTCAAATATGCAGTCTTGATACAACAGTGTACCTTGAAAAAAAATGCAGTGGCTTTTAACAAAGACTTGCTTAGGTAAGATAGCCTCTTCTAGTCCTACATTAATGAAACCTGACCTAAGGCATTTGTATAATATCAGATCAGATTCTACTGACAATTTCTTTTAAACAAAATGATTCTTAATAATTGCACTCACCTGTAACAAACACTTAGAGCTTGGGCTCACACACAGAAAAGGCTGCAGATATGTGTGTGGCTATTTTGTGATATTTCCATAGATCATCTTTAGTTTAAAAGTGGAAATCATCTCCACAATTCATCTTTTCCACTCCATTCTTACTATTAAGATCTTTGCATGGGCCCCAAATCTCTAAACTTATTCTTTTCAATGAAATGATTGCCAGAGCATCATTTATCTTGGCCCACAATTCCAGTTACATCTAGCCCCTCTCCAAATCCTTCAGTCATTCTTCCTTACCTCGACACCCACTTGAAAACCTTCGTCTTTGCCCTCAAATTATTGTACAATTTCATATCAGTATCCTAAGTACTTGTTTTTCATCTTCTCTTTTGCTCCCTATACTACTCCTGAGGGAATTCTGGGCCAAAAAACTAAAAATTCTGCACACAATATTTTAAAATTCTGCAAATTTTGTTTGTCAAAATAACACTACATAATCACACCAGTTTCAACTAGTTTGGCACTTGTGTGGAGTTTCCTGTGCGCCAAACCTCTCCTTCCTTGAGGGTGTGCTGGGAACTGCAGCTGCCAGGAACTTTCTAGCTCTTCCCCGCCTCCCCCAGGACAGTGTCTTCTATCACAAACTAGGCTCTGCCGGGTCCAGTGGCCCCTAGTAGCAGCAAGAAGCACTGCAGCCCATTTCTGTGGGGGAAAGGAAATTCTGTGCAAAAAACATTAATTTCTGCAAAATTCTGCATTGCGCAGTGGCGCAGAATTCCCCCAGGAGTACTATACCTGAAATCTATTCCTTTGCTGCCTGATATGGTTCTACCCTCTCTTCAAAAATAATTTATTCCTAACCCAAGTATCTCCTTTGAAAGAAACAGTTATGGTGTAGACTAAGAGAAAACAAAAACGATTAAAGTCATGCATAAAACTTTTCTGCTCAGTCAATCTGCATCTTTCCTTGCAAAACATGCTTCATCTGTATGTTATTTAAACTGTAATCTACTCAGAGCTGGGATCCTGTTTTTATCGTTGCCCATAATGCTCTTAGCACACTTAGTTAGCACATTACAAAAATGCTAGTGCTGAAACTAGCTACTTGAGGCAGCCTCCATAATAACAAACAGTCCCATGGAGAGATATTATGGTCTAGTATTAGAGAGAAAATGAGGTCAAGAAATCTGGATTCTTATTCCAGCCCTAACACCAACTCAGCCAGGCTGCTGGAAAATCACTTCAGGACTCTGTGTCTCCATTTTCACAGCTCTATGACACTTTTCTACCTTGTGTAACCCACACACCTTCTGAGTGTGGTGTTGTGTCCCATCTAGTGGCAACGAGACTAGTGAGAGAGAGAAATAAAATGAGTCTGCTCTACAGCCTTAGCTCACAGCCAGTTGACTTTTAGCTCATGCACTAAGCTCCAGAAGTCCCACATTCAATCCCACCCACTGACGACCAGGGTCTGTGGGCGTTATACTTACAGAGACTTTGAGGCTCAGTTTGTTAGCTCCTAAAGGGCTCAAAGGTGCTCTCACAGGAGCCACAACAAAAACGCTAACCATACGCTAATGTTAACGTGTTTTAAGTAGAGAAATTCGACATAGCCTTAACTACTGAGGCCTTGTCTACACTACCCACCGGATCGGCGGGCAGCAATCGATCCAGCGGGGGGTCGATTTGTCGCTGAGCGGTCGCCCATCGACTCCAGTACTCCACCCGAACGAGAAGCGCCAGCAGAGTCACCGGGAGAGCGCCAGCTGTCGACTGACCGCAGTAAGTAGACCTAAGCGCATCGACTTCAGCTGCGCTATTCAGGTAGCTGCGTCTCCTAGAGCGACCCCGCCACGGTAGTGTAGACAAGCCCTGAGCTGCATCAGCCGCGCCCCGAGCTAGGGCCTCGGCTGGTGGCTCGGCCACGTGTGTCTGCAGGTGTGACACACGTGGCCGAGCGACCAGCCGAGGCCCTAGCTCGAGACAAGCCAACACGCGGGTCCAACTCCCGCTGAGGACAGGGGTGGTCCCTGCTAGGGCAGCGCGGGCGAGGCTCAGGGCACAGGGGATGCCCAGGCCGCTGCCCCGCCCCGCGGGCCCCTGTCAGTCGCCCTCCCGCCCATCGCCGCGCCCGGCCTCTCACCTGCGCCGCCGCCCCGGGGTCCTGCTCGACGTCACCGTCCGGGAACCTGGCGAGAGAACAACACAGCGGCGCGCGGTTAGAGGGGGGCCGCGGCGGCTCCGGCCGGGGCCGCGAGGCGGGGGAAAGGGGAGACTCACCGCGGACGGGCCGGGTCCAGGGCCGCCGCCATGATGCTGCCCGCCTGGCCGCTGTGAGAGCGGAGCCACGAACCCGCCCGCAGTCCCGCGGCGCACGCGCGCGCACAGAGACTGAGGGGACCGAAGGGGGTGGAGTGACGTCACTCTCCTGCGTCCAGTAACCGCCGCGGGTCAGCCCCACGTGACGAAGGGAGGCCGAGGCGGTCGGCCCCCCGTCGCTGCCGCTCGTTGGTTGCTAGCGAGCGAGGCGAACGCCCCTGCGGGCAGGATCCTCCCTCGTGCCCCCTAGCGCGGGAGGACTGGGAGCGAGGCGCGCTCAGCCGGCTCCTGCCCCGCCCCGTTGTGGCTGGCATGGCAACGCTCACCGAGCCTCCGCGGGGCTGGGGGCAGACGTCCCGCCCGCCCCGCTCACGGGCCCTGCTGGCTCCCGGCTCGGCAGCGGGACCCCAGCCCCTGGCCAGCAAGGCCTCCAGCTGCCGCAACCTGTCCGTCCGCTGCAGCGTGGGAGGCGGGCGGGAGCGGGCCTGGCACGGGAAGGCCGCAGATTTAACCCTGGGGAAAGAGGCACTTGTGTGCAGGGGCTCCCCGCCCCGGGCGCGGCGGCGAGGCAGAAGTCATGGCTGTCGTCGCTGCTAGCACCTCCGCACCCCCAAACTCTGCCCCCCCCTCTTCTTCCTGCGGCCTAGGCCGGGTTCCCGCCGGCAAAGGGGCGCTGCCTGGGGTCTGCTGCTCCAGGCTCGGTCCGGGCTGGAGAGGCTGCCCCCAGCCCCCACCCGGGCGGCGTTCCTCTCCTGGAGCGGAGCCAGCTGCTCTTTCTCCTGCTGGGCGGAAGGGTGCGCTCCTGTGAATTTAGCCAGGAGCAGCTGCGGTTGTGAAATAACCAGCCCCTCTTCTTCAGCAGCAGCAGGCGGGCCCGCCCGCGGGGTGGTGGCTGCTGCTGTTCATACTGCTCCTTCCCCCCCCCCCTCCCCGGCTGTCAGAGCAGCAGTAATTCAGACCATCCCCATTCCTCCCCAGCGCTTTGGGTCTTCCCCAGGCAGCAACAGCAGAGAGGCCCAGACCGCCACTGGGGGGGGAGGCCTCCTTTCCTGGCTGTTCCCCTGGCATGTGGGGAACACAGGGTTGGCACCTAGCTGGTTTTTGAGTAACAGCCGTGTTAGTCTGTATTTGCAAAAAGAAAAGGAGTACTTGTGGCACCTTGGTCCTGGTGCCATTTAGGGTTGCCAGGTGCTCGGTTTTCAACTGGAAAATCTGCTCAAAAAGGGGAGCTGGGAACCCTAAATGGCACCGAAACCGAAAGTCCAGTTACCAGGGGGAGGCATGGTGTCATTAACCCGTGCCAGCCTCTACTCAGCTGGGACTGCCTCCTACCTGCAGGCAGGCAGGCGCCTTGAGACAATCCAGTGAGGGGGGAAGGAAGGAGCAACAGGTAGGGCCGTTGTGGGTAAGACACAGGGCCTAAAGGGTGCAGTTACCAGCAATTACAAAGGTGTTAACCCTCTTGGAAGAATAATGCTGCCGCATCAGTGGTTGCTTGGTTTTATCACCTGATTACAGCTTGAAGTTGGCATCATTCATTCTGATTGCCAGTGCCATGGACGCAACTAAGGAAGGCTGCAGCAAGATGGTAGTGGGCGGGGGGAAAAGAGAGAGTTCAACATCTGGCCCTAGTCAGTCACAATTCAAGGCCTGCTGTGTGATTTTCCTGTCTGTCACTCCAGGGGCAAGAAGAGTTCAGTGTACTGAAGCAAAAGAGTGAGCAGAATAGGGGAACAAGCAGACTGGGGCACTAGGATATATATGGGAAGTGGGAGGGTGTGATACAAAGGCCCGTGGGTATCCGCTTGGAAAAGGTTCATTGTTCTGTGTAACAGCACCTGACCTTATAGATAAATACTATGAAAACCGTATGCTATGTGAGATCTTAAATGAAAGGCAGCATCACACTGATCCTCAATTGTTGTGTGATGTATATATAGATTATATTTAAGGAGTTGTGTGTATGTACTGAAAATATATTTTAGAATCTGCGTCCGAGGCAGGGTTGACAAACAAGTTTTGCCAAAGGTATGTACCTGTCTGCATAGGTTCATGTGTCAATTAAGCATTGTAAGCAGACGCAGTGGGAGCTCATTTTGCATATGGAGTCAGTGCAAGTATGTGAAGATAACTTAGAGCAAGAACACTAGGGCAGGAACCATGGGGGTCATCCTGACTCTAGGGACAAAACCATGAGTTTTGGGAAATACAAGGAGAAGCAAAATGATATTTTCTTATCCATCACTGAGAGAGCAAAAAGGACAAAACTTTTTGCATTCATGAAAAGTGGATCCCAAGCATCTTGGTTAGTGAAGCTTGGAGATTGCCTTACATGAGAAACTACTTTAGACAAGGATTTTAGCCTGTTAAAGTTTGCACTCTAAGAAGTGTGTTATACTCTGTTTTATATGTAACCGTTTGTTTCCATCATTTTGCTTAACTCAGTATCTCTTAAATCTTTGATAATAAATTTGTACTATAAATATATATCAGTGCTAAGATGTTATAAAGGACCTGATCCTGAGTTGTACGAGTCAAGGTGTGTGTAATTTCTGAGAACGTCCAGTGACTGGTGCGAGATACTACAGGGAGATGCTTTCAGAGGAGCTTGGGGGCTGTGGTATACCTACTGTTAACCTGCAAGGCGAAGGCAAAACAAAAATATCACAGATAAAGTTTGCAGATGACACAAAAATTGGGGAAAGAGAAATAATGAAGAGGACAGGTCACTGATTCAGAGCAATCTGGCTCCATTGGTAAACTGGGTGGAAGTAAACAATATGCATTTTAATATGGTTAAATGTATACATCTAGGAACAAAGAAAGTAGGTCATACTTACAGAATGGGGGACTCTCTCCTGGGAAGCAGAGATGCTGAAAAAGATTTGGGAGTTGTGGTAAATAATCAGCTGAATATGAGCTTCCAATGTCACACTGTGGCCAAAAGAGCTAATGCAATCCTGGAAGCATAAAAAGGTGAATCTCTAATAGGAATTAGGTTATTTTAGCTCTGTATTTAGCACTGATATGATCACCACTGGAATACTGTGTCCAGTTCTGGTGCCCTCAATTCAAAAAAGATATCGATAAATTGGAGAGGGTTCAGAGAAGAGTCACAAGAATGATTAAAGGATTAGAAAACATTCCTTACAGTGAAGCAGCTCAGTCTATGTATCTTAACAAAGCGAAGGTTAAGGGGTGATTTGATTAGAAGTATCTACATGGAGAACAAATATTTAATAATCAGCGCTTCAATCTAGGAGATAAAGGTATAACAATGCAGTGGCTGAAAGTTGTAGCTAGATTAATTTCAACTGGAAATAAACTAAATTTTTGACATGTTAATTCACCATTAGAACAATTTATCCAGGATTTTGGTGGATTTTCCATCATTAACCTTTTTATAATCAAGATTGGATGCATTTCTAAAAGATCTGCTCTGGGAATTATTTTGGGGAAGTTCTGTGGCCTGTGTTATACAAGAGATCAGGCTAGATGAGCACAATGGTCCCTTCTGGCCTTGGAATCCATGAAAGTTTGGACTGGCAGGCCCTGAGGAGATCGTTTGGGTAGCTAACAGACTGGGAGTACTGTATCAGGAAGCCGACATCCAGTCAAGCACAAACAAACCTTCTTCTTGCTGGAGGCAGGAGATAACAAGGTGACTGAGTCACAGAAGGGAATGTTTTTTAAATATCACCTCAGTTTTTCTTGTATTACTAAATATTTATATTGTGGCATACAGGCCCAATCAGCAATCAAAGCCCCATTTTCAGTAAGGTGCCTAGTCCACCTTCACTGTAAGGATTTCAGGATGGGGACTATTGTGTGTGCGGTTACAGTGCCTACCACATTTCTGCTGCTACTTTGTTATAAAAAAAATGAAATTTATGCTAATACTATAATTCACAGAGGTTTCAGTTATAATAGCAATGTTTTCCTAAGATTTATTTTATGTACAAGTGCTTTTTAACCACATAGATTGATGGAAGCAGTTAAGTATTAGAATTATTCTATCGAGTACTAAATCCAATGAGAGGATGGATTTTAATTTTTTGAACCAAACCATTAACAATCCTGAATATTCAGTTCTGAATCCATGAGCTTTTTACCTGGTTTTCACATTATGCATAATATAATTAGTAGAATTTTATTAATTTTAAGTATTTCCCTCCCTGAAAGAACTTGCAATACTCTATGTTATGAACTTTTTTGCAAAAATACACAAAACTTCTCAAAATACTTCGGATTTGTTTAACACAAGATAATTAAAATTCAAATAGTATACAAATTCTGTCAAACTTTCACTCTGATGTAAATTAAAATGGCCAAGAGCTATACCTCCTTGGTAAAGGGGTTTGCTATGGAAACCAATTGAACTTTAAAGAACTGCGAACTAAAATTAAAACTGAATTAAGCCTAGAAAATGTTTCTTTAAAGTTCCCAAGAAGAGATATTAGGATAATGTGTTTTAAGCACCCTTTCTCCTCCCCATATACTTTGCGAAATCATCCAGTACTTCTGTGTTCTATTAAGACAATCCAGAATGAAACATGTTGTGGTATCACTGATCCCAGAAGTCCTATGCAATCTGTTGTATCAGTGATGTCCCAGAATTATGCATTTGTGGATTGACAGAGGCTTTCACAGGTGAGTGTAAGGGGACAAAGTTTAAACCATCTGTGCCCAATGCCACATCAATGGACCTGTTTAGCACATATTTCTGAACTTAGCTCATTCTTCACCTTAACTGCTGAAGTTCACCTTTTCCTATAGCAGTACTGCATAGTGCTGTCACATCCTCAGACAAACAGCTTGAGAATCAGTTTCTCACCCTGAGTTCTCCTGAACTGATTCGTAAACTGCTCATCTGCTAATGTGTTCCAAATCACAGACCATCACTAATTAATCATATTGCTCTATTTCTCAATACAGTTCAGATTGCCAGAAACACTATATTCATGTATTGGTAAGAAAACTCTAAAGTAAATACAGAAAAAAATTTCCACTTGATTTATTTTCATAATAAACCAATTAAAAATACAAAAGACAAAGAACCCAGGTTCAGTAGGGTTCCATCATTTAAAAATTTGTCTTTAAATACAAATTCACTCTGTAATATGAATACATATAACATTAGATCTCTAAACATAGTGATCTTATTTGTATCTATCAAAAATTGCTCTATGGAAACAAATTAGCTGAAAAACTTTTTTGTGAAATTAAATGTACATTATTTACAATTGAAAAAGAGTCTCAAAAGTATTTATCTCACCACACTTGCATAAATTGTATACATTTCACTTTTCCCCCATACAAAATAATCTGAAATAGAAAGCAAGATTGTTTAACTTCATAGCCACAAAATAGTATGAAATAATTGCACCCGTAGCAATGCCACTAGTTTCTGTAATTAAGTATATTTGATGTGTGTATATAAACACATATAGATCTGGCATTGTCCATTATTGGTATATGTAAATGCTTTATGTATTCTCTTAATGGGAGTGTATTTTTATTTTGCACACCCAAACGACTGTGCTGCAAAAATGCAACAAGAGGAAGCTTGGTTGCCACTATCCATTATTCAAAGTAAAATCTGACATAGTTCATTGGTATGCAATAAGTATTTGGTAAACTTGGTAAGATTCACACACATGGAATGAAAATGCTGTTCTGTAGAAAGTAACGGTTGTTTTAAAAGTTAAATGACACATTTACAGATTAAATAGAAAATGTTATAATATGGTATTGCAATGTAAATTAGCAAAACTGAAAATGCATAATATGTAAGAAATTTGGAACTTTTGACAAAAAAATCAGCAAAGTCTTCATAGTATAAAATGCATGTTCCTTCATGCTTGTGTTTTGAAAAATGAGCACTACATAATTTTATATTTTTATAACATTTAGCAATTAACAGAAAATCAAAACTCATTCTAATGCATGACTTCTAACAATTAACTGTAGAAATTAAGTAGCTTTGTAACATCTGCTTCAGAATCAAATCATATATATACACACAACTGTAAAGGTCCCATCACATTTATGAAAATAATCATCCACAGGGATTTTTTTGTTTATTAATATAAATTGGATTCCAACTGTTCACTTTCCTGTTTCACTTGCATGTTAGATGGAAATCCATTTGAATTGGATACCACCATCACAAAAGGCTGCTGCTGGAACCTCTGCTCTGACTGCTCAGTATCATCTGTTGTGTCCTCTTCTACCTCCTCTTTCATCATTTCTTGTATAACAGTCTGTTTAGTTTCTGGTGCTTTGATAACTGAAGTGATCACTGTGCCAGATGGATGAGCAACCATCTGTGAACTGCTCGGTGAAAAAGTTACCACAGGAGTAGTAGCACTGAAGGATGAAGATGAAGCCATGTTGACTGTTCCATTACAAATGGTCTGCACATTGCTGGTGAGAACCTGTTGAACTTGGGCTGGGCTAAAGACAATAGATGAAGAAGAGGAGACTGGCTTCTGAGACTGCAGCATGACATTTTCTTTAAGTACTGTCATTGGCTGCGAAGTAGGAATGGCTTGGAGAATAAATTTTTGGGATGTTGTTGCTGATGCTGGATCTGTGCTGGCTATCACTGTTGTAAGAGGCACTGTCTGGAGTGTTACAGTATGCAACTGCTGGTTTCCAGGTGAAACAACCACTGGAACTTGGGCTGGGGTCTGTAAAGTCCTATTAAAATTAGAAAACAGGAAAATGTTAGAATGTTCCCAGATCTATTACTGAATGAGTGTTTTGCAACACAGGGTACTTAAATTATTAATTTGGAGGGGAAAGGCAAGGAGGACTACTGTCCTTCCAGCACAGAAAACTGGACTTGACTCCAGTTGAAACCCATCAGCACCTACCTTCTCTCCTCATACATACATAGTAAGTAAAATAAATTTAAATCCATCCAAAACGTGAACTTAATTTAACTGACACTGCAGCTGTTGGGCCAGCACTGTGGGAGCAGCTACTGCTACTGCATTCTTTGCCAGTAGACGGAGTTCTACTCACTTTTTCTCCATTCAGAAACAAAGCAAGTGAGCAAGCATCTACAATGGCCCTTGTTGAACCCTCTCAACTCAATCACTCTGTGTCAGGCTTAGGTGGCTGAGCCCAGAAGATTCTCTGGGCAAGCCCTGCCTCAGGCCATTGCAGCCAGTCTCCACTCAAGCAGTTCCACCCCTCGACATAGCCTTCTCTCCTTTGAGGGAGGGAAGCAGTGCCAGTGGCTCCTTCCCTATGGACTTGCCTACACACTTTTTTGTAAACCTTTACCATTTGTACAGAAAACCACAAAGTGATGTGTCTTGGAAGGAACATTTGGGGATGCACCCTCACTATCTTTCACGAAGTGAAAATGCCTACAGTTCATGCCAGCTAACTCAAGGTAAACTCTAGTGACCACATTTCAAGAGCCCCCAGCAAGCACCTCCATAGAGATGAGGGATGTGGCACTGCAAATGGAACAGCTCAGAGGAAAGGTGCTGGCACATGCCATCAGGAAAAGACTTAAAATCTGACAGAGGGTAAGGCACTGAGGCAGCTGCTACCACCCTGAGGAGACTACTCCTGGGGGAATTCTGCACATCTGCGAACATGCAGAATTCCTCTGTCTTGCATAATTTTGTATTTTCCTGCACAAAAAATATTTTGCCTAAGGAATGCTGCAGTTTTTGCTTTTGCCTCTGTATTTTATGTGAGAAAATACAAAATTCTTTGCCCAGTGCTGCAGAATTTCCCAAGGAATAGAAGTTCATCACAGAACCCTACCTGCGGATCCAGGTTAGGACAGAGTGGGACGTACAGGGCTGCTGTGGGGGTCACAGACTGGGGTTCAGAATGGCTAGTGGGGGGAACAGACGGCATGGACTCAGGAGCTAGTGGGGTGAGAGCGTTGAGCCTGGGGAGGGGGTTTGCAAAGATCCACAGGGATGGGGAGTGCAGGGACGGGGCAGACGTGCCTGACTGAATGGGAGAGGCTTGGGGTCAGACAAGGTCCGCATGAGGGAGGCTTTCCAACTCTCTAACAATTCCTGCCCTGCAAAAAACCTTCTCACACCCAACACCCTCCAGGTTCACTCCTAGGCTCCTTCCCTCTCCTGCAGCTCCTCCGTTACCCCTAACTTCCCCTAACTTTGCACTGCTTCTGACATATGCAGGAAATACAATTCTGTACTGTAATTAAAATGAATTACACAAAGTTCTGTATTAATATGCCTACTAAGGAATCTATTTGTCAAAAAAAAAATTTACCAGAATCTTTTTTTCTTTTTGGGGCTGTATTGTTACAGATGATGTACTTGCTGACAGATATTTTGAAATAAATTAGCAAAATAACTGAAACCAGCATCATTATATTGTGTTATTTTGACAACAAAATGCAGAATTTTCAAATACTGTGTGCAGAATTATTATTTTTTGGCACAGAATTCCCTCAGGGGTAGGAGACCCCACTGGGATGGAAGGGTTAAGGCAGTCACTGCAGCTTTGAAAGCTGTTGTTGAAGTTAACATCTGGGCTCCAAAACATCCAATCTGTGGCCATAAATGCAAAGTAATGCACATTGAAAAACATAATCCCAATAATACATATAAAATAATGGGGTCTAAATTAGCTGTTCCTACTTAGGAAAGAGATCTTGGAGTCGTGGATAATTCTCTGAAAAACATCCACTCAATGGGCAGCAGTAGTCAAAAAAGCAAACAGAATGTTGGGAATCATTAAGAAAGGGATAGATAATAACACAGAAAATATCATATTGCCTCTATATAAATCTGTGGTATGCTCACATCTTGAATACTGTGTGCAGATGTGGTCACCCCATCTCAAAAAAAGATATACTGGAATTGGAAAAGGTTCAGAAAAGAGCAACAAAAATGATTATGGGTATGGAACGGCTTCCATATGAGAAGAGATTAATAAGATTGGGATTTTTCAACTTGGAAAAGAGATGACTAAGGAGAGATATGATAGACGTCTATAAAATCATGACTGATGTGGAGAAAGTAAATAAGGAAGTGTTATTTACTCCTTATCATAACACAAGAATTAGGAGCCACCAAATGAAATTAATAGGCAGCAGATTTAAAACAAACAGAACTATTTTTTCCCCCCACAAACGCACAGTCAACCTGTGGAACTCCTTGTCAGAGGATGTTGTGAAGGCCTAGACTATAACAGGGTTCAAATAAGAACTAGATAAGTTCATGGAGGATAGGTCCATCAATGGCTATTAGCCAGGATGGGCAGGGATGGTGTCCCTAGCCTCTATTTGCCAGGAGGTGGGAATGTGTGACAGGGGATGGATCACTTGATGGTCACCTTTTAGGTTCATTCCCTTTGGGGCACCTGGCATTGGCCACTGACGGAAGAAAGAATACTGGGCTTGATGGATCTTTGGTCTGACTCAATATGGCTGCTCTTATGTTCTTATACATCATACTAGCTCTTCTCTGAAGCTACTACTTTATTCTCCAGAATTTCAGCTTCCATTTAAAATAAAATAATAAATCTCCTAGTTGTTATGCTTGCAAAGAAAAACTCAGCTGAGTGTTATCCATACAAAGATAAGACCACAGAGAGCCTGGAACAATATCTTTGAAGAATGAACTATTCTGTTCATTTCAGTGAGATGTTAACCGTAACACGCAGCAATGATAATTTAAAACTCTAATGTTGTTAAATTACATTCCTCAAGAAACAAGGAGGGTACATATGTGCACTGTAACAGCTCATTTTGATACCAAAAGTGGGTAGCCCTTGGGAGACACCATGACTTATATTCTTCCCCAATCAAGAGGCTCTAAGTGCCACATGATTACATTTTGCATATCTACACAATCGACTGTGAGCAGCATCCATTTTAGTGACATACATAGGCAGAGCATATTTTATGGGCAGAACTTGAAAGAATTCCATCATCTTTTTTCCCCAAACTGACCCTTGGTTAATAGATTTGTTGAGGCAGAAAATAATCCATGAATGGAAGAAAGAAGGGAAGTTTAAAGGATGGAGATGACCAATTATGAGTTAATGGAGTAGTGATCAAGTCAGGATGATGAGCAGTAACAGAGTGGGGAGAGGAATGAATGACAGTGAATTGGGGTGTATTTGACTAAGTCACAAAAGGGAGAAAGAACCACACTGCAAAAGCCTCATTGCTTAATGCCCTTCTGGAGTGCTGAGATATTACACTGGGCACTGTGAGAACCTGAAGAGAAAGATGGAATGTGGGATGCTGGGAGGGAGGGAGCCAACCAAGTAGTGAGTGAGGTAGGTGCGCATGCTCATGCAGTGTGTTTTGTATGGAATTGCATGTGTTGATGTTTACAGTAAAGATGGGCAAGTAGATTTTGTTCCTGGCCAGGGAACCAGCCAATTTAACAAGGCTGATTTAGACACAGAAGTCTACCAGCCCTGACTAAAAATTTATTTGACCACCTTTACTGCAAATAGTACTGAAAAGATAAGGACATTTTACTCATTCAACAAACCCCACCTCCCAAACTACTCAGCCAAAACCCAGGCAGCTAGAATTTTTCTAGACTGCTCTGTTTTCTGTTATGTTTTGCTCTATTAATAATTTTGCCATTTCTACTATACTTCTTGTGCTACTGCACAAATCTGTGAGTGGTGCCCTATCAAGAGTCTTTCTGAAGCTACTATTTTTAAAAAACAAGACTATTGAGCAATATTGGCTAAGAGGAAATACTGCTGAAAAAATACAGGTTCTGATTACTACTGAGGAAAAGATGAGACATGTTCCCCACTAATTTCAGCCTGCTGGCAGGGAAATGATAAAAATCTATTTACTGGTTCATTGGGTGTGGTTATAATCTAGTGTTGTGCAACATCACAGTCACTGATCTGGAGATGAATAGTGATGTTGCAAACACTAGCTGACAGGTGACAGAAACAAGTTTATTCATAGCGATTTACTTCTGAAACTTCGAAAACGCAAAAAAGGGGAGAAAAATCCTACAAAGGTCTTGAAGCTACAAACCAAGTTAAGCAGTGTTTAACAATATACTAAACAAATTAAATAATGCAAGATAAAGAAAAACAAGAGAGAGAGAGAGAGAGAGAGAGAGACACGAACTGAGGAGAATTCATTCCCTAGCATAAAAGTTACTCAACATACAGATGTAAGAACAGATAGTTTAAGAGGGAAAAGATTTCCCCCACTCATCTAATTGATTGATACAATGTAAATCCAGGAGGACTAGGGAGGTGGAATGCACATGACATGCAATTTAGAGCCAACTTCAGGTGCAAGAGTTAAGATAGATTCACTGGAGTAAATCCACTTGTACAAGTCATATCTAATGGGAAAATCTTGCTGGCATGTAGTGCATCCCACACCAGTGCCTCTAATAGACTGGCCTAAGACCTCACATCCACGGGATTCTCTCTGGTGGTCACCAGACCCCTGAACACATAGCCAGACACACTGGAGCTGCTGATCTGCCTAGGTACACAGATAATGGTGGGGGAAAGGGGCACGGGATACCCTTATACTGGGCCTTAACATCCCCTCCTCCAAAGAAAGGTCAGAACCTTCCCCTTTCTTCTCTAGCAGCTAAGGTCATGTATTAAGTAAATGGTAGAGCCACAAGGCTTGTCTATATAAAACAGCTAGTGCACAGAAAGCTGGGGTGTAAATCTATCTCACAGTACCCAGCACA